ATAATATACTTTTTTAAATTAATTTTTTTATATATATATATAACAATTCTGTCCCCCTCACTTCTGAAATGATGGCTACGCCCCTGGTCTATTATTAATTGTGCTCTGATGAATATTCTAAAGAAAAGCAAGAAAGTAGTTCACCCCTTGTTGTCCAGTGTCCTAAATTTTTAACTGATATTTTAAAGACATTTATTTTTACTAGCATTAAAGACATATCATGCTTTTCATTTCACATTAGCTTAACACAGATGTGTGGATTAAGATGAAATGTGGTATTTGGTGAGCATAGATAAATCCTTTATCATGCACACACACACATCCAATTTTTTGTTCTCTTGCCTAAAAACAGGGGGCCATTTTTAACTGGTCTACTATATTTAGCCATGCACACACACACACACACACACATACACAGACACACACACACACTCACCATCTCTGTTTCCTGTCCCCTGGATTCTGGCAGTAGCGGTTTCTCTTCAGTGAACTGCTGATCCTTCATGCCAGCCATCCTGAAGAGCAACCTGCAATCACCATGGCAACACACACACCTGAGATTAACAAGGCTATTCGACAGCAAACCAAAATCTAATCAAATCCGCCTGGTGCTCCAATATTGAAATATTACCTACGCCACTCAAATCTTGTATACAGTCCCTGCTGGGGAAAAAAATCAGATCATACCAGCTTAAAGACCCAATGATATCAAAATTGTAGTTCCTCATGATATCTAAATTGTAGTTTTGTGGCTTTTATTCCATGTCTGTTAGCTTTGAGATCATCTATATTATAGAGCATTCAAAAAAGTTGACTGAATTAACTTTAATCAGATATACTGTACGCATTTAAAATAGACAGAATTTCTCTAACCAAAAACAGAACACAAATGTTGATGACTCATCCTGCACTACAGATTTTTGTCCAATCAGATGTTCTCTAGAATCCAAATGTCCCTCCACCTTATACCACCTGCAACAAATGAACAATTGCATATGTTAATGGCTGAGACGTAACCTCTTCAATATGCCCTGCCCAAACTTCCTGTTTCAATAGGAAATATGTAACAACTGCGCTTGTTAAACAATTTCCCAGGGGTCTTTAAGGTGGTAAAGCTGGTCAAGGTGTGTTTTGGAACATACAGTAGCTAAGCTGCTGGGGACTAGGTTGATACCAGCTAACCATGGTTGTGTCTCTTTCCACTCCCTAGTTCTCTATGGAAAGAATCAGTATATCATAAACACGATTTCGGGCACGAGCAAGGACCTTGATCCAATAAACATTAGGATACTAATGACTCAATTACATGCAACATGATTATGACATCATGCATTTAACATATCAGCAACATCACTGGTCTGATGGCTTGAAGGACTGAAGAAGACAACATTTTCATACACTGCAGTAGCTTATGCTTTCATTCATGAATGAATGTTTCAGTACACTGGAATGTCTTATGGTCTGTGTGCACACCAACAGCGAAGCTAATATTCGCATCACGTTATCGCACTAGATTACTGGCGGAAATTTTTCAACTTGCGTAGAAGACACATTTGAGGTGTATATCGCGCATTTGTGGCAAACGCGTCACCCGCGATTGCACTGACTTTGTATGTAATCTACTCACTTGAATAATTACATTTGCTTTTGGTGTGCACACCATAAGGAATGGCTGGCTACCTGAGCAGTGTACTAATTACAGAACTAGGGAGCGGATTGAGACACACCCCATGTAAAACCAGCTACCATCAGAAGTTGGTTTTAACTGCATTTTTTCAGCAGGCGTGCTAATCTGGCTCCAAATAATTTAAAACTACATGTGGTTATGGGGTTCCCTTTCAGTCGGTCACTACGAGTCACGTCGTGACCGACGAATTGGGATATCGCTTCGATAGACCAATCTACTTCGAGTGTAAACTAAACGAGCCAATGCACATTGGCATGCAATTATTGCATCCAGCTGCCGCTGATCACAGCGTGAGTATAATAAGGCAGCAGGTGCAATGCATACCAGCTTTTCGCTTCGGAGCCGAGCAACAACATCGTTCTGCTCTATGTTTATTTCGAGAACTACGAGTTCAGCACACTCTCGGAAACCGACTGAAAGGGAACGTCTCGGTTACGTATGGTAACCCTCGTTCCCTGAAGGAGGGAACGGAGACGTCACGTCCCGTCGCCACGGTTGCTGTACCACCGCTGAGCGGCCGGGTCGCCGGCTCGGCTCCTCAGCGAAAACCTGGTATGCATTGCACCTGCTGCCTTATTATACTCACGCTGTGATCAGCGGCAGCTGGATGCAATAATTGCATGCCAATGTGCATTGGCTCGTTTAGTTTACACTCGAAGTAGATTGGTCTATCGAAGCGATATCCCAATTCGTCGGTCACGACGTGACGTCTCCGTTCCCTCCTTCAGGGAACGAGGGTTACCATACGTAACCGAGACGTTTCGTGGACTTAAAATGAGGTGGCATTGTGAACATGGCTTGAATGTTGTTTGGTGGTTAGGTTCACGATGACACAAAAAGGCACAGACTTGTCAGTCTCCAGGAGCACATGGCCAATTGTGACATTAGCTCTCAGGTTGTCAAGGTATCTGTTGATGGATGAGACAATGTACTTTTCCATTAGATTCTTATTAAACATCAGCTGTGCAGCTGAAGGTAGTCGGCTCATGGGAGCTCTGTCAGTGTCAACTGATATTTCGATAACACGATGCCAAGCTAACGAACACCTCCACAGCCTACTGCTAACTTTATTGGACTCTAATAGTTCTGCAAACACATGCGTATGTAGATGAAGATTATGAAGCATGCCGTTATTTACAACTTTAATGGAAATATTGCTAGTGTAATCATTTAGGCTAAGCAACAGTCGTTAGCATGTTTTAGTAGCATTTCTGAACATCTAACGTTCCTGCCATCCAAGTGCTGTGAAAACGAGTAAACAAGAACATGAATGAGAAATAATAAGGAAAAACAACCTCATCAAATATCAGTGCAGATTGTTGCCACTTTTACTCAAGAGATGACAGAACACTTTGATATATCATTCTTTTGCAAGAGTCACACAATAACTGGGTTTAATTCAGAACACTTCAAGTCAACCGAAAAGTCATTCCACTCTTATTTCCTGTCAGTGCCAAGAGCTGCATGAATCTGGAATCATGGGCAGTGTAAATCAAACCCTCAGATGTGAACGGATAGAATGATTCAGAGCCCTGCAGGGAATGATTATTTTGGTTGCATAACACCTCCCATGAGGTGATTATAACGAGGTCTAGACATGACCACAATACTCTCAATTGGCCTCTCTTTCTCCCTCCCTTTCCTCTCTGTCACGATCTCTCCGTTGATCTATCTCGCCTTCCCGCCTCCCCCACATGTACTGACCTTTCTCAGATCATTATTATAATCAATAGTGCTCTGTTTTGCTACACCATAATAGAGAAACATTTTTACTCTTTCTAAACAGAACGTGAGTGGTGCTTACCAGTGCTTCCACGCAGCCATAATTGCTATGTAGTTTCTATGGTGTTCTGGTTGTTTTTGAGCTTGTTGCATGTGGTTGTTGACTAGCCCAAGTCAACCGGGTCCAGCCTAAGTCTCTATGAAATTCTGGTCACTAGATAAGTCTAGTAGCTTATAAAGGTAATACTGCCTCTCCACAACAAGCTGCACAATTTAATGCGGGAGTTACATGCCAAAGTTTAATACTGAGGACTGGTTTGTTCATATCTCTAAACCCAAGTATGAGCAATAGTAATAACAACCTTAGCATGTACCAATAACTAATTATTGACTAAACACTGACTGGTTTTTGGATTGTGTGGATAAAGATAAATAATTTGGATCCATGATATTTAAAAGTGTATAAATATAACAGCTAATTCATGATCATCAATATTAATATCATCCTATACTAAAATTACAGCATAAAGAACAAATAAATGTATTCATGTCAAATATCAACCTGTAACTCTTTTTGTTTGCAGAGATTTATTTTTGTGGGTTCTGTACCCCGTCAGTGTTGCCATGGTAACCTATAGTAATGCCAGTAGACGCCCCTGCATTCTTCAGGGAGTTGGATAACCTTTATCTTTCCTTCTTTATTCTTTTCGACAGCATCACTGCTAGTCCTAACTGCAGTACTAGAAAAACAGAGAGTTTGGAGCCACCAAGATAATGTGTTAACTCTCAGACATGTTGAATCTAAATAGAGTTCATGTATTGAGCAGGCGACATCAGCCAGAGCTTTTTTGACCCTGTTCAGTGACAAAAAAAAAAAGTGTGCATAAGAGAATATGACACTGGAAAGACCATTGGAGGAGTATTCTGTCAGACACCAAATCAATAGATATGCTCAAAGGCAAGGGTCTGACCTAATATACAGAATCCCAATCAATACTTGGAAACTGGGTTAGGACAATGTATCTATGGCAAACTAAATCTATGGCGAACGGCTTTAGAATGATCTAAAATCATTCTTTGAACGCAAAACAGGCGAAGGATCTTGGCACAAAACGTCAAGAAGCTGAGCAGTACAGTCTCCTTGGCATCTCTATTAGGTTATACAAGTGATCGAAGTTTTAATTAGCCATTTGGATGCTAACATAATCGAGGTAAATAAAAAGAACATGGCTGCATAAGCAAGGTGTAGAGAGTGCTAAGTACCACCCACATGCTGGCAGAATCAAATATGCCAGGAAATAAATAATGTCATTGTGGAAGTATGGGAGAAATCAGTGGAAGACCTGAGCTGTTGTAGTTTTTACAAAGCACTTGTTGCTGCCTGGAAAAAGTCAAACGTCAAAACAAATACAGTATCTTCCTTTTACGCTTATTGAAAACTGGCTTCGTTGCTGAGTTAGTTTTCTGTGTTTTTATAGAATGAATGATCTTCTTGTTCTTCTAATGTGTATATTTCACTCATGTCCAAGATTCTTATAAGGATCCACTTTATAAGGTCAAATGTTGAGGGTGATGGAAAACGAAACATGTTAAGCAAAAAAAAAAAAGCTCAAATGGCATAAAAACACAACTAGCTCACATAACCCTCACATTAAATAGACTGTTCCAGGAACTTCAGTCATAAGGCGCTTTTGCACCACGTAGTTCTAGGAACTAGCCAGCAGGGTGGTTCGTAGTTCTAGAGAACCAATTTCCCCCTCAGGTCGTTTTCCTGGTTGCATTCGCACCGGCAGCAGCCGATAGTGACATCTTTATTTGCGGCATTTACAAACATCAACAACCGGTGAATGGAGGACACCGCGCGCGTTCAAAGCTGTTTTTGATGTTTGTTGTGGGTTTTGTGATAATGGAAATAAACGCACAATTTACGCGATTAAAAGAGCATGAAAATCTGACTAAATCTCCAATGCAACTTGCAGTGTTATCATCGAGGCTGAGAAAAGAACACAATGCTGCAGACAACAGGTAAATACCGTTATCGCGGTTTTGCATTTTCGTGGAGTAAATATGTTTACATGGCTTTTTAAAAATGCTGGGTAGCCGGTGTTTCGTATGCGTTTGGCCAGTCACCGTACACTGCGTCACTGATAGTTCCTATAGGACTGTTTTAGACCCTACTCTGAAGTAGAAGCTACATTAGTTCCCCCAAACTGAGTTCCTAGAACTAAATACGTTCCTAGTCCTTCCGGTGCAAACATGCCAAAAAGCAGGAACTTCCGCCAATAGTTCTAGGAACTATGGAAAGGTTCCTCCAGTGCGAAAGCGACTATACACTAATGCACACCCTAGTCCATTAAACCTGTGTTTCTCAACTCGAGTCCTGAGGACCCACCTACCAGAATGTTTTAGATGCCTCATTAATAAAACACTTGATTCAGCTCATCGGATTCTTAGTGTGTTAGATATGGAGGCATCTAAAACATTCTGGGAAGTGAGTTCCAAGTACTGTATACAGACAGTACAATAACAGAATATGTCTTATATTAAAATCGAGATAAAAAGCAGCTGTGGAACTCAAATAAACTTGTTGTAATCTCAACCCCTTAGAGAGCTCACTTCACACCTCCAGTGGGATTTTGGGTAACATCTGAAGGACCAGTCATGGCTATCTGGCTTTCAAAGACGCTCTGATAGTGTTGTACCACCAGAATCAACCATGTTTTCAACCCCTCACACTGCCTCTTGTCAGGAGCTGCCTAGTGCTGTAAGCCAGACTGACAGAAGGTGAGTTGGTATGTGGTCCTCAATAACGCCATTTTACCTTGGCCGAAAGTACAGTAAGCTGGCCGAACCTTACCTTAAAACAGGTTTCTACTGTATGGATCAGTAGGAAACCAATCCTGAGATGTTAGGTGTGGTTTCCTTGAAATATTAATGGTTCCATTTTGATAAATAGCCTGCATCTAAAAGCTTTCATTAAGCAATATTTAGCCTCGGCCTGGGCATTTATCACAGCTGCACACTTATTTAGGTCAGAACAAAATACAATCAAGTCCATAATAGTTTTCTTCACTCATGTGCAGTCAAATTATTCATGGAGATTTTTCATTTATTGTAGTTCATTAACATGAAATTGGTGTCACATGGCTCAGTTGATTATAAGCTGCATTGGGGGCACTGGAGGTCAAGAACTGCAGAAGGCAATTCAAGATTTGAAGGACCCTCTTGAACAGAAAAACATCCAAAGTACAAAAGCCACCAAAACAGAACAATGGACATCAAGGTTGATATGCATCTTTGCATATGAACATTTATTTTCAGTATCAAAAAACACGTAGCTCAGGCAACAACTGATTGGAAGACATTCAAGACTTCATAATTCAGATTCCTAATGTATATAGTGGACATGAGACTTACAATAAAGTATAAAATAATCTTTTTACATGAAATCAGCTTGAACATAAACCTACATGAACGGATTGTTCAGAGACCGAAGGCTGAAACAATAAACAGCTATTGGGCGATGAATTATGAAGAATGATCTACGGTAGTAATGATGGTTATTGACACTTGACCTTGTTTGGCCATTGCCCAGTGATTGGTCGACAAATCAAGGTGTGATCATTATGTGATCAGACACAGCAACGGGCCATGGATTTCACAAGCAAAGAGACGAACAAAAAATTAAGGGATGGATGCTAAAAAAACGGAAAAGAAAGGCTACAACCTCGGTTACAGGCAGAACTACGTACATTGTCTGCAGCAGGCTCTGTGGAACCGTGCAGCTAGTCTTGGATGGGAAGTTCCAGAACAATCCAGGCCCCATCTATCAGTACAAAACAAGATCCATTTGTAATTCAGCTATACACAATATTCGGTATTCAGAAAACTCTCACAGTAAGTACGTTAAACTGGGCAATATATTGAGGAAGCCACCTCCAAGTTGAGCTTCTGTACACTAATATGCAAACTTGTCCCAGGGCATGCCTCTTACAAAGAGATGTTTTATGAAAAGGTTCCAGACAATTCACAAAATCCTCTATAAATGACATTCTTTATATAAATCTCAAGCCAGGTGAATATCTATTAAAGTAAAGCTAACATGCAGTTTATTGAAGAGTCTTTTTCCATGCTCAGTGAAGGAACAGTACAACAGTTCTAACAGGGAAGGCTTCCAGGCGGTATGGGTTTTGTACAAGTGAGACAGAAAAGTTTCCAAGGCGTTTGTTGCATTGTTATATAATGTAGAAATGGGGGCATCTCGTTGTTGTCTTGCAGGGAAATTTAGCAAAAAAAAAGAAAAGTAATCAGCCTTGCGTCATGTTGCGTCAGTATTACCATCTTTTTTACAAGGCTGAATGAAAGATATCTATTATTTTCAATTACTCATTTTCAAAACCATGCCACATAATATCATTCATCTTTACAGCTGTAATCATCCCACAAATTAGTAATTGAAGTACCTGCTTGAATTTCCACCAACCTTTCAGTTACACAGACAAAATGTATTTCAGCTGCACGCCATGTTGTCAACCAAGTGTGACAAAGGTGTGGCAGTTGCCATTAGCTGTAGAATAAAACTTTTTTATTTTAAACTCAACATAAATATTCTCATCTTAAGGCACGTGCTAACAACATCATTCATCACCCCTTTAAAACTGAAAGTGTCAAGGCTTATGATAAGTCAGTTTATCCACCCTGGAAAGTTCCACGGCCCTCCTGGCCTCCTATGCAAGCTGGCACACAGCCAGGTACACTGGCGTCAGATATTCTGTGAAGTGTTATTGAGATTAGGAAAACAAAAGCTCTGCTTATCTGTTATTGCACAGACCTGAATATTCTCAGCACCACAGCAGATAGCATTACTCAAATGAACAGGAAAGGACACCTGTTAGTAGACTTACCCATAATTTAAGGGGTGGTCTGGATGGACTGCGACTGGCTTGCTGTTTTTGGCAAAGCTTCCCTGTCTGACGCAGTTATTTTGCGGGGTTAATAAATTTAACCTGTCGACCTCCCATTCACGCCAATGCAGAGGCTGGAACTATGAAGTGTAGCTTATGACACAAGCGCTGTAATACTCGCAGGAGGGACTCTAATGCTTCTCTTCAGATGGAGTCCCTGAAGGCCTTGTGTTGGGGCACTTTTTGATCTGATTGTATTTTCATACAGTACACCTTGTATCGAAACAACCAAGTATTTAACATGACCTAACAACAGAACAGAGTTCTCTTGAATGATCATTTTAATTTGTGCATCTTTGCAAAAATGACCACAATAACCAAAGAGATATTTCTTACCTCTGCTGAAGGACTGTGTTCTGTTGTCGTCTTAAAGGATTCTGATGTGTTTAAGCCTCTTTTTGTTTGCTCGTGAGTGTGTTTCGGAGCGATGCTGTCTACCCAGTGAGAGCTATGCTGTGTGAATCTCTCTACCTCTGTTCCACCCTCCCTCATTCGCTCACTCTTCCCCTCCCTTCTTTTGCTCTGTAATAAACAGAGAACACGTGTCCTTTTGGATGATGCAGCCTGAGCCATACCAACAGATGAGAGTGAGACAGAGGGAGGGAGAGAGTAAGAGCAATCACAGAGAGGGACAGAGAAGAGGGACATACGGAGAGAGACAGAGAGATAGGAAATTGGATACAGGAGAGGAGTGAAAGAATAGCGAAGGGCAGACAGGAAGGAGGGAAGGAACCAAGGAGACAGAGAGGAGAAAGAAGTAGTGAGACAGGGATATTGAGTAAAGCCTGGAGGCTTAGAATGAAAGGCTATCCAATCAGACCACAAGTGGTAGCTCTGTACAAATGATTCTTACACTTCAGGGGGAAGGCACAAATTTGGCAGCATGAGCTTTTATCAAGTCAGCTTTTACTAGAAACTGTTCTCCCAAGATTATTAGCACATACTCATATACCCACCCAAACACTGCCATAACAAACCCACACATTTACTTATCACAGCATGAATCGAGGACACAGACACATACGCCCATGCATGTGTTGGTACAAAGCAGTTTTCTTCTTCTTTGTACTATTTTATAGCAATTTGCACTTTTCCCTGAAGACTACTTCTAATGTTAGTCAAGGATTCTTGCACTATAAACAGCTGTAATTAGGCATATTTTTCAGCCTCTCCCTAACTCTTGGAGTTGTGTTTTTGCTACTATACCCTCTATAGCTAAATCGGCTTGTCTCAATGTACTAAGGCAGTCAAGGGTTCAAGACTGGTTAACTTGGTTTAGTTAGCCAGTCCTGTTGGAAGATACTGTAACTACACCAATTAAAAAAAAATCAATTAATGGTCATTCAAAATAAGCTGCATGACTGACTACATATTTTTGATGCAAACAAATTGATAAATGTTTGGGGTGGTGGTAATATTGACAATGATGATGATACTGATGGAGATGACTTAGGCTGCGTTTACACTTGGCATTAACATGCGACCTGTATCCGGATGTTGTTCACATACACAGCCAAGTGTAAACGCTGCCATAGAGTGTGATAATCACTTGTCATTTGCAAGACGCCAAGAGCATTGAATCATAGTAAATCAATATCCTAATTAACACAACCAAAGTATGGAAAAACTGTACCATGCCTTGTTTCCCCCTACGGTCTCACTGTCTTTAATATTTTTTAATGTTGTACCAAGAGAAATGTTGCTGGCTAGTCTGACTCAGCCAAGTAGCTTCTGGCTGGAAATTGTCAGCAATTTTGAAATGGCAATAAAACTTTCCCTGGCAATTCTGAGGGTCTTTTGCTGCTGGAAATTCCATATAACCCACTATGCAGCCAGAATCAGGAATCTAAATAAACTTTTCTCATTATCTTGTTGGCACAGTTGAAAAGTCAAGGGGGTAAAGGGAGCACATGCCAACCCATTAAGGTTCCTTCATTTTAACAATTTAAAATCAAATGAAATATGTTCTGATTTGGTGACAGAATCAACCATGGCAGCCTCCTGTCAATATTTGAGAGAGATGTTAAAGCCGACCTACAGTATTTCAGCACACTTGTTGAGTTGACTGAATAAGAGATGTGATGTCATATAAAATCAACTCACATTATTCTGCAGCCTGACATATTCTTTGCTGAAGGTTGCTTTCTGCTCTTCAACTTAAAACTTGTTAATACACTAGCTCAAACCAGCCCCAAATGATTATGTTTAGCTTCATTAGGAATTATGGACTAGTTATCACCACATACTGTACACAACAGTGCAGCATAGTATACATTCCTCCCTGCTTCATTGTTGCAAATTAAAGACAGTCACATTCTTGGCTCACAATCTTGCAGGCTAATTGACCCTTATTTGTCCCTATATTAGCTCTGCGATAAGGAGAAATCAGGTTAGTCGCCTTTTTTGGAAAGGTCTAGAACAGTAGATGGACTCTAGCCAGGTTTTAAGTGGTGAATTGGGAGAAACCTGGCAGCGGAGTGACCACAGTTGATAGGCTAAGCACGTTTTGAGTCCTTGTTTATCTGAGGTTTGGTTGTCTGTACCTGTGCCAATGTGACAACCTTAAACTGCTCATTTAAACAGCTCAGCAAGACATACCCAAGGCACATGCTATCACAGAGGCAACACAGCTGGCTCGCTGCAATGTGGAGAGCGTCAATATTTCACATCTTTGTCTGGAGTATAGATGGTCAGAATAAGGAGTGTCAGAGGAAGACATACAGTAGAAGTTGGCAGAATCCTCAATGGAACTCAACTGAAACTTTTGTTTCTGAATTATCATTTGCTTGAAAATGGACAGGCAACAAATCCAGACAATGGCCATCACAACTGCCGTGCCTTATGTGGCCTCGTAGTTTTCACTTGCACATAGGGCTGCAAAATAAATTCAAATAAATTGAGATTATAAACTGAGATTATATGGTGTAGATTTCAGTATTACATTTAGATCTACAATTGTTGAATCCTATTTACAGCCTGTTCTTTGCATTGATGATGGAGAATCAACTTTATTTTGTGTGATTTAAGTAGCTTTTTAAGAAATGATACTTCCTGTGCCAGCTATCACCACCTTGTTGTTGAATCCCATGTAGACCGATGTTGCCTCAGCACATGCTTGAATCCAGAACTGGATTTTGTCTGAAACATAAAAATGCTTATTTTATTTGCATAGCAACAACCTTCAGCAACCTGTGTGTCAGCACATAAGTTGTCTCCGTACATGCTTACGTATAAATTGGATTCTGTCTGAAACAGGATGCTTCTTATATGTGGTGATCTGCCAATCGAATGAAGAGAAAAAGAACACTAGAGATGGACAGCTGAGCTATGACTCATCCCACCATTATAGAAGGAATGAAGGAGAACAGGTCACTTGACTCTGATATTTATGGATGTTCAGCCTGAACACACTTGTCAGGCAAAAACAAGGTGAGGAGAGAGGTGGTGAGAAAAAAAATATATAAAAACACAGGAGAAGACACCATTTATTGCACATCCAACACTCGCTCTGCCTATTTATAAGACAGGTCACTCTGCAATCCTGCAAACAAAACAGACGAATGAGGCATTGCAAGTAGCTCAGAAAGGAAAGGGCAGTGTCTTCCAACACCCTATCCATTCCGACATCAAACATCAGCAGAATTTCCTCAAGGGTTGTTTTGTACAAAAAGGCAAAGAAGACAGTGCCTAGTCAAAAAACTGAACAAATCTGGTTAAGAACTCACCTGTTTGGGCATGTTGGACCACTCAGCTCATTTAAATTGAAGGTGCATCATATGTAAATATTATTCCACCAGTAGTGTTTACAAAATATCTGATGACTAATAGTTTGAAAATAAGGTGATTATAAATAATAGGCTAGCAACAACAAGTGGTACAAATAAAAGCTATATGAAATGTTCCATATGCCATTAACCTAAATACATTTGTGAAAAAAAAAAAAAAAAACTCAAGAGGGGAGATTTTGCCTCCTCATTTTAGAAGTCCACCACAGGTTTCACCATCAAAAATATTAACAAGGGGGGCATAAAACACTGTTCTCAACCTCCCACCTACTTTAGTGCACAGGCTTGTTTGAGCCGGTGTTTCAGAGTGAATGCAAACCCAGTTGGGGAGAGATTAGCCACATCTGAAGAGCAGCGTGGGGGCGTTAGCTTAGATACGGCTAATCCTGACACCTCGGTTTCTCTCGCCATCTCTCACTCTTGCCTCTTATGCCTCCGAGTCGTGTCTGTTCTTTTCAAACGAGAAGGTCTGAAAATCGGCTCACTGGAACGGCTAAGGCGAGAAGCCAAAAGAAGCTCAAAGACAGACATGGGAACACTAGTGGATACTTTTCCTCCAGCTCTGTTAAAAAGATATGCAACACAGTCAGCTGAGGACAGATGGGATCTGAAATCATTTGCAGGATTCTCATGCAGTTAAAAACATGAATAATTCTGTAACAAATTAGAGGTCTATTGAGAGAGGAAGGGATTATGGAAAGACGTCAGTGCTTTTTTTTTTTTTTTTTTTTAGAAATGTTTTAACTTTTTGGGTTCACATTAGAATATTTTTGGTCTGTCTGTCTCTGTGTGTGTGTGTGTTTATTCAAATGAAATGCAATCTTAAGGCACAATGCAATGTTCTAGCACCAGAGTCTACTCAAAATATGCAGTGTTGCTACAGAGACAGTGCTACTGTAGATACATTGTGCTTGCGTACAATCTCTGTGAAAGTCTTGGTTTGGTAATGAACTGTAGTGTTCTAACACTGCACACTGGACTACATCTTCATAAAATATTATAGCCTAATTGTCTGCACTTAAAGAAACATCTTGCATGCACTGTAAATCAGTAAGCTATAAATGCCAGTCACAAACTCTTTAAAAAAAACAGACTATTAACAGGGTTATTTGGGAGTAGTTGGGTCAGTTCCATGTTCATTACTCTTAAGAGGAGTAGTACATCTCTAGCTCATGCCAGAAAAGCCACACTGTGAATCCAGGTCAGAAGTGATTCATTGAGCAACAACAAGAAATGGTAGTGTTCTAGGAGACCCAGCATGGGTCATGGTGAAACACTTGACACCATTCACTAGGAAGCTAATGAACAGTAACCTAGGATTTTAACTCTGTATGTATAGTGAAGGGAATAATCATTAATGACAGATACAATGTAATTTAACTTATAAAGGTAGCATTGCTGTGTGGTTTCTAAAATGTTAAAATTATTTTAGTGCTATGCAGTTTCTATTTTGTTGGGTGGGTGCTTGCAAGCCCAAGGAAAGAAGTCCTGGGAAACTATCAAAGTACCTCGATCAAGGGCACAACAGTCATGGCCTTTACCTTATGGTTACCGTTGCCCTCAACCACTATGCAACACTATCCTAAAAACGAGAGAGAGAGAGAGAGCGAGAGATGTAATTTACTCTTTGCAAACATTAATGCTTTAATTTACTGTCTGAATATGTATGGTTATTCAATAAAGTCATTGCCCCATTTGTAATCAAGCCACCAAATGATGTAACTTCAAGAGAACTGTAGGGCAATGTGTGAATTTTCTTTAGTTTAGACCTTTCAAAAAGTCAATAAATCCCTCCTGCCCTACCCAGCCAACTCAGCTGAGGCTGCAGAGAGATAACAAGGTCGATATGACCATCCCAGAGGGACATATCAATAACTTCCATTCCGAAATCTCGGATGAGGCCGTCCACATCAGCTGACCCACATTTTACACATGAACAAGCAGCTAGGACTCATAAACATGCTCATTAAAATGAATAAAACTAAGACATTTGAAATCTGATCCTGGAGAAGAGATTCCCAGTTCAAATATACATAAGATATAGATGTTTGTTTTAAGAGGGGAGAGAAAGGGGCACCAAAGTGTGGAGACAATGCAGTGATTTGATTTGTCCTTGTGTTGACTGATGCAAATAAGGCTCGCTCACACACACACAGTCACGAACAACCTGATGACGCATACAAATGTCACCTCCAATATTCTAAATATAAGAGCTCATGGATTATCAGAAATCAGCACTCTTTATATGACAGCATAAATGCATTAATGTTCATTATTTATGGTTCATTCTGAACACTGGAAATAATCTTTGTTAAAATGTTTTAGATATTGACATCCGTGGCGTGAAAACTCATAACTCCCCAGGCTACGAAAAAAAACACACAGATGAAACCTGTTCAGTCCTCTTTAGGATGAATAAATGGAAGAATCTGTAATTGCTTTATAAAAATCACATCTCTGGGAAAAAAAAGACATTTGTAAAGATAAAGAATTAATGACCTTTATGAAGTTTCAAGAAAGAAACAAAGAGTAAAAACAATAGAATAAATTGATTTATTGACCATATACCAAACTGAAATATTGTTTATACACAAAAATTTTACAGTAAAAAGTTCACCAGCAATTTACACAAGTCTCTTAATAACACAAACATACATGCATGTGTCGCACTTTCTCACACACTCACAAGAAAGTGTTCTTAGTCCTTCTTTGTAATCTTTTTCTTTGAAGTCTTTCAGGCCTGCAGGTCTGTCATTTTCCTCTTTCTGTAGTTGATAACTAGACTAGAGGCAGTGAGGTGAGAGGACCGGCCCTTTTCCCACAGTTGGAAACTGTTTAGTCCACTCTGGCCTGCCTTAAACAAGCTCCTCTCTAAGCAATCCAAGCGTTCCACCAGCGCTGATGTGTCTTCATTGTAGGCGTTCTGGGACGAGTCCATGGTCCGACGGAAACGACCGATGAAGGTCTGATAAGAGAGATGGGGACAGTATATAGATTTTATGGAGGCATACATAGGATACAGGGACAGTTGCAAAATAATTCTCTAGTTTTTTTATGAGTTAAAACAAGCATTCAAGTCTGAAGAGCTGCGAAATAGAACTCCTAAATTTGAATAAAAATGGCAGTAGAAGTGATCAAAATAAGTAAACTTCATGACTAAAACTAAAAGACTAAAAAAAATGTTGTATTTGCAATTTTATAGACATAATAGAAGAATTCAGCCATATTCTTGCTCAAAGTTCAAAGCTGCTTGTTGTATTGTAATAATCAATATATAGTACTAGCCATAATAACTATGCAGCAGACTTTTAAAGCCCTAAATTATGCCCTGAATTTTCCCTGAACTTAACATGGAGCTTTAATGGTGTTCACTGATGGAGCACTACAAAACTGTACGTCCTATTCAACCTGGCATATCAGTCTGCCCAGCAACTGGTCAGTACTAGTAATGATTTTAAACGTACTGCTCCCTCTACTGGTTGAGGTAAGAAACAGCAGATGTATTATTACACATGCCTCAGTTATTTAACTGACATGATTTCAGCATGTGAAGCTGTGTACCATAACACCAAGCTAGCTTTCTTCTAACCACCCATTACTAATAGGTTAAGGTAAATGAAACACAACTCATCATATCTTGTATGGTTAACATATACATATTATTTAGCTTGAATTTGCATGCTTTTTACAGCCATAATTGTGTATTGTGTGACTACCTATCTAGACATGCTCACCTGGAGGATGGTATTAGCAATCTCTGGGTTTTCTGGGCTGTCAAAATGTAGCATCTGGGAGCCTAAACCATAGTAATATGGCCCCATTTTGTGCAAGTCTACAACAATGGGATCTGCCCCGAACACTGTTCTCCAACCCTCACGATACACCTTTGGCAGCTCCACGGACAGCACTCGCCTCTTCCTTTCATACAGGCCCTTGGCCAGCCACAGTGGCATCTCCATCTTTGTGCCCTGAAAGTATAAATCAATCACGTACAAAACATATGTGACCATGGACCACAAAACAGTCACAAGGGTCAATTTTTCAAAATTGAGATTTATACATCATCACAATGATGTATAAATATAGGACAATATTTGGCCGTGATACAACTATTTAAAAATCTGGAATCTGAGGGTGCAAAAAAATCAAAATATTGAGAAAATCGCCTTTAAAGCGGTCCAAATGAAGTTCTTAGCAATGCATATTGCTAATCAAAAATTAAGTTTTGATATATTTACAGTGGGAAATTTACAAAATATCTTCATGGAACATGATCTTTACTTAATATCCTAATGATTTGTGGCATAAAAGAAAAATCGATAATTTTGAAACATAAAATGTTTTTTTGGCTATTGCTAAAAATATACCTAAGCGACCTAACACTGATTTTGTGGTCCAGGGTCACATATGTGCCAAAAGACAGAACCTGTTTCTCATATAAAGTTAACATTAAACACCCATACAAATATGCCGTGGTCAGGGACTTATATTTAGGGTTGCAAAAAGGTGGAACATTTCCAGTAAATTTCGGAAACATTCCAGAAATTTTGGAAAAATCAACACCAAACTGACTTTTTCAGTTCCAATATTAGTGTTAAACAATATAATTTCTGTCGTGAATATTTCCACAGTGCCATTTGTATTTGTAACATTCTGTGGTGAAGATGACAGTTACGGAAATTAACTTTTGGCCAATAAAACAACTCGTCCTTTTATCTTGTTAACTCTAACTTCATAGTTAGCATTTTATGCATATTAAACAGACATAATATTTTCACAGTTTTGCACAACTGGAGAAATTCACAGCTTGCTTGCAAATGACGCACAAAAAATGCACAGAAGAGATATCATTCTTCATACTCTTCACTTGCACTGTTGTCTCACTTGTAAAACAGTACAATAACTTTTGTTAAAACCTAGGTGATGCAAAATTGCGGATCGTGTGGGAAATTATGCTACAATTGATTACTTTTATGAAACGTATTCATTTATAAAAGAAAATCTAAAGGAAAAATATTCACTTTGGTTTAACATTTTAAACGTCAACTCATTTTTTCAAATGGTTTTCATAGATTAGGACTTATGTTGTTGAAGATGTCAAGATCTTCAACAACAATAACATTTGAATAGCCTAGCAGTTCAATACCTTTAATTTTACCTTTATTTAACAAACTATCTTACTTTCAACCAAATGTACACAAAAAGGTATTAAATGCTTTTATAACCGTTTTAAAACATACCTCTGGTATGTCGCGTGTCTCGCTGGATTTCTCGAGGAACCCGAGTCGCGGGAACGCGCTCTCAGTCCTGCACGGCAGTCTCTCGTGAGAAAGTAAAATATCATCGAGAGAAAACAAATTCTCCTCCATTCCGATCCCCGGGGGAACAGGCTTGTAGGATTGCGAGTCCATTTTTATTGTTTATGAGTGAACTCTAAATGAGCAAACAGAGATAATAGAAAATAAAGAGGAACATGTCGAAACAACAGCACTGTCAAAGCAGCATTTGGCGCGCAACTTCAAATGAGAAGTAATAGAGCATCGAGCACGAGGAGCATCGAACAGACGCGAGCAGTCGATAACAGAGCGATGAAGACAGACAGCATCTCAAATTCTCTTTGATTTACAGCACACCTATACTTTAAAACATGCTTAAGAGAAAATACCAGGTCAGTATACTAGGTTAGTAAAAAAAAAAAAAAAAAAAAGTTTGGTTGGCTGCTGTACATATTGTATTAGAACATGTTAAAATCGTTTTAATCAGCAACATTCTTTTTAGAAAAAAAAAAACAATATAAAAATAACAAAAAAAGTATTTAAATTAACATAATACTACTTTCTGCATTATGTTTGTGTAGATAAAATATATACAGATCACTAAATCTTTCATGTGCATTTATCACTTTGGCCATCAGATGTCGATATTTCTTTAATTTACCCAGGAAACAGTCTGTAATTGCAGTGATTACTGTCTGTCAGTTAGAACTGGATATCATGGATACTCATCTAAACATAACAATAATTTGCCAGTGGCCTATCATTAAACAAACTTATAATATAAACATCTTATTAGTATGTTGTAAATTCAAAAGTTATTTACAACACAATATAAGCAGACAATTAATGAAACTTTAAGTTCTTGTATTGTAACAAGTCAGTTTCTGTTCTTAAACAGAATATCTCTAAAGGTCTCAGTTAATATATTATCTCTAACTGGACTGCCACACGATTGTGTGCTTTTCATCTTCATATAAATGACATTATATACTCAAATCCACTTTGATTTACAGCATAAATATATGAAAAATAAGTTAATGAAGAGGCAATACCAGGCCACTGTCTTCTTTTAAAGAGAAAAGACAGTATTGCAGTTATAAAGGTCATAGCCAAATTTACAGAACAGACTCAGTACTCGGTTTTATTCAATCTCTTTAAGGACATATAAGTTACGGATTTATTTATTGTGCTCATATTCTAAGATTACCCATAAATTATATTCTCAAAATGGTCCTCAGTGTGACATTGCTCAATGCCCTGAACACACTTTGACTAAAATGTTGTTGTATTGTGATTTAGGCAGGCAGTAGGAAATAATATAATAATCATGTACTTTATGCTAATTTTTAAAAGCCTCAGGGGAACCAAAAGTAATCATTTACATCACTGTCTATGGTCGTTATGGTCCTGGTTACAAGATTGTGTCTCTAAAAGATTTAAGTAGGTTTTATGCAATGCACACTATGATATTAATGATGTGGTCCATATAATGTATGAATCCAGAAATATGAATAAGCATAATATATTGATTTACTGCAAGCAGTGAGTAGTAATACAGCAGATGCGTTGTCTTACTGAAAGTTTATTTGATTGCATTGCATATTATTTGATTGTATATGGCAATTATCTAGCAGCATGCCTTATATTTGTATGTGTGTGTGTGTGTGTAATTTTTTTAGACTTTTTTATACTGTTTTACTTTTTCCTGTTGTTATATTGTGTGTATTAATTATTTGTCAAGATACTAAAATAGTCATGCCGGTAAAGTACTTTGAAGGAAATTTTGCACATATCAGTTTGTGATCTAACCCATGGTTTTCCTTCTGTCAGTAACTGTCAAATGCCGAGATTTCATGGCTTGCTTATAGAATACACTCGCATTTTTGGCCCCATTATGGAAATGAAAGACTATAATTTTTCTCTACTCAAGCATTTATTAGGCCTCCGACTGAATGGTTGCAAATGAAAACATGAGGAGTACCTAAATTAAATCATGTCTGCCGCCTCTGTGTTAACTTCGTTATGGCAACGTTACTGGGTCACCTCTCTGTCCTCCTTTAGATCACCAAGCGGCTGTTGGAGGCGAGACGTTGTCTGCGTGAAAAAAAGAAAGGACACTTCTTAATAATTGATTGTTTGGGCTAGATATTGTAAATACATGCTCGCGTTTACAACACATCTCGCCACTGTTAATCCGCGTATGCGCAGTAACCGCCTCTATTGTCTCCCAGCAGCAGCGGCGGCGGCGGCGGCGCAGCGGCACACGCTGAATCGATCTCCAGGCAGACGGAGGGAGGACGAGCGGACCACTGGACGTATACTCTGGACGGACATCATGGCTGGTGTATTTTAAGTCAGTCCTCTCTAAATAAGAGAGAGCTTTTGCATTCAAAGTACTGCGGATGTGTTGTTGCGCCTGGTGATTTTGGGCAGGCTGTCCTGTCAGTTGCTTATAAGCGGAGAACGTGTTGCGTTTTTGCTCGCGCGAACGGCTTTATTATCACCCCCTTGTTCCCTAAGGTGATTATTGAGACTTTAAGTCCATGATTCGACCAGGAAAATGGGCTGTTGCGTCTACGAGACACAGCTGTTTTAGTCAGACTTGACAACCGCGGATTTTAGCGCTGGTTTTGGTCGCTTGTTTGAAGGAGGCTCGAGAAGCACCGCAGGGAGATCCGTGACACCCTTTCCGCGACACCCCCACCCATATTTAGCGGATACTTTTGGATGGGGGGCAAACAGAGTACGGCGGGGCGGCCCCGGGGAGCTTTTCCCGGTGTCTCGACAGATGACAGCGCGGTGCCACCCTCGGCCCACTTCGGGCACTACCGGCCAGGTGGCACGATGGGACTGCGCAGCCGCTCGGTGAGTTCCGTGGCGGGGATGGGCATAGATCACAGCGCCACGGTGCCCTTCGGGTTTTACACCCCCAGAGGAACAGACTCGGACAGAGCCGGAGGGGGGTCTGACTCGGATCCCGCTCATAACGGGAATGGATACCAAGAAACGGGCGGCGGGCACCACACGGACGGTATGCTTTACCTGGGACCCCGGGCGTCGTTGGCAGACACTTTGCCCCTGCACATCGCGCCCCGATGGTTTAGCGCCCATAGCGGTAAGTGATAATTCAAACTCCGCATAAACAGGGCGCAGTGGCACAAAGCTACATCGATGCCACCACATGTAGTACGGAATATCACTTGAGGGCACGCTGCTGCTCCAGTTTTCGCGCCGGCGGGAGGGGGAATGCGCACGAGACCTGTCTGACCAACGGCTGGACTCGGCTGGTGCGAATCGACGTTAATAAGCCAGGTTGCCAAATCTTACTGGGACAATTATTACAAAGGGAGGGGGACTCAATGGTTATCATCCGCTTAGCTCGAACCACAATATGTCTCTGTGACTGGGTTTTAGTGGTAGGGATTTTGTTTCATTACAGTGACTCGAATCTTTTGAATCACTTCACTCAAAAGATCCGTTTGCTGGTTTGTTTGCTTTTTCCGCAGGCTGCATCGTTATGTCAGTATAACAGTTAGGTGGCGACCACCTAACCTTTTTATTTTTATATAGTTAGGTGGCGACCAGCAAGTTTATTTTTTTGTGTGTGTGTGCGAGCAAGTCACTGAATCAATTATTGAACCGATTCGTTAAAAACATTAATTTTGATCTCCATTTGGTCAACTCCAAAAGAGTTGCATTAAGTACATTATTTTAACTACAGATGGTTATAAGTCAACATATATATAGATCATCTGCACCTTTTTCTTGTGAGATCGATATTCGCTTGACAAACTAAGCGAACAACAGTCAGTTTATCAGCGTAAATAAACATAACAGATGCCTAGTCTATCTTTCACGACTCATTGAGTTCATTCACATTGAAATGTCTCATTCTTTGTTGCTCGGAGACTACATTAGTTTCAACCAATAAAATGGTCCATCACAACCAGTACTCGAAAGCTACATATTCATGCTATATCAGTCCTCTCAGACAGTCCCTTGCCTCTAAAGGAGGAGACAAAAATAGGAGTCAGCACATGGAAGTGAACAAGAACGATTCATTCACGACTGAAACACCATAGGCTTGTCAAGGTCTGAGCTGCAGCGCTCTGATGTTTTCCAGCCTCAGTCTCTAGGTGCTGGTTAAGCAAGCCCCAAATGTGGCCTCCAGAGGAAACCTGACAGATGTAAACCATTTGACTCAGTTTTCCCTTAAAGGTTATTTCACTGACAAATTAGGTTTCCCTCATTTTAAGGGAATGTAGCTCATGTTAACAGGTGAGGAGTTCAGTCTTGAATGTCATGGTGTGTGATTTGGCTTCTAAACAGTGATCACCCACAGGTTGCTACTGTGAGTTAATGAATGTCACAGTGAACACAAGAGTGGTCAGGTGCCTTTCTGAAGGGTGGGGCTCAAGGATCATGAGGGGAAATGGTTCTTGGAAAAGTACTGCCTGTTCCCCTGTGTTTGAAAGTAAGACTTAGTAAATAGGTATATTCTCATGTCAAACACTTAATGAGATGGGAATGACTCATCTGAAATGCTGACTTAAACATACCCACTCATATCAGCCCAGTTTATCAATAATTTAAAGCTGCATAAATGTGAATACTTTTACTCTGCAATTTTATTTTCCTCTTTTAAAGAGATAGTACTCTTTAGTAATCTTTTACTCACCCTCATGTTGTTCCAAACCTGTATGAATTTCTTTCTTCTGTGGAACTCCAAAAGCAGATATTTTGCAAATTATTGGCATTTTCTGTCCATACAGTGTCAAAAACAAAATAATTCTTCAAAAAATCTTCTTTTGTGTTCCACAGAAGAAAATAAGTACATATTGTACTGTAACAATTGGATTTGTTAAAATCAGATTTGTTAAACATTCATTCTTTTTTTACTCTACTTTGTAATAAAATGGCCCTTTACAACCAGTATACCCAAAAGCTACATATTTGTTCTATATCAGTCCTTTAGGACAGTAATCTGTTGGTTTGAGCATCCTAACTAGCAGCAGAAACATTAGCTCAACCAATCTGTTTGGCTGGCCAATGGTAGATGGAGGGAGTGTGCAGGAAACCTGTTTGACACTCATTATTTTTGCAATTCGGTACAGCCAGTGGCACAGAAACCTCACCTTTAATAATCGACTGCACATTTATGGTTTACAGTTTTGTTGTTAGACTATTTCAGGGGGAAAAAACTTTAACTGTAAAGATTTGATAAGCGGTAAGCTTATATTATCTGTAGAGCTATCAACCCCCTTCAGGCTCTACAAGGCATGAATGAGCCTGGATTCAATCAGTGTCTTACAAGTAAATTCTGTTTATTCTCACTA